TATCAGCTCACGTGTGCCGTGTTCGCCCTCCCGTGGGGAGCTGCTGCCGCGCCCCACCATCTGCACTGCTCTCCTCCCCTTGCCCTCTCCTCCTCCGCCTTCCGTCCCCCTCACCCTGGCGCCCCTGCGCAGTGCCTGCCTCTGCAGTCCTCGGGCGGAGCTGCTCCGCGCAGAGCACACCGGTCCCTCTTCCCAGCCTGCGCCCTTGCCCTCCTCCCCGCCATCTCCGGCTCTCCTACTGCTCTGAGAAAGCTCCGTCTCCCTACTTCCTATCACCTGTTTTTACTTTTACTCTGGGTAATGCCCTGTCGCAGGAAGACAGACAATGGGCTGTTTTAGCTGCGTGCCTGATTTATTTCCCTCGAACGAGGTGCACTGACTTTCCTACAAGTGACTCAGATTTACCCTCCTTTATGGTGGAGTGCTGCTCCACTGTCGTCACCTGCACTTCCTTGTTTCAGACTTTTCCATCTGCCTAGCTGGCCATGAACAGACAGCCGTGGTGGTGAAGACAAGGTCCTGGTGAAAAGTCCCTTTGTGGGTTATTCTTCCCAGGAGTCAGAAGGGAGAAGGGGGAACCAACTACTATTTCTGGAAACAAGCTCCAACTCTGAAGGGAATCAGGGGATCATCACGAAGATTATGGTTTTTTTCACAGTCTCACCAAATAAGCTCTGATGCACAAGTGTTCTCTGACTGCATTGTCAATCTCGGCAGGAAGTGAACTGTGGGCTCCTCTCTCCTCCCACAGGTTGTAGATTTCCGCTATAGAATCCCGAGGAATTTTCACAAATACTTCTTTTGCAGCTTCGTGCTTTTTTAATGCTGCGAAGAAAGGACATACAATTTTCAGTATATGTGAAATGGAAATGGTTCTTCTATGCAATGGTTTCTCAAGGAATCAGATCATTAATTTACAACTTTTACAGGGCGCTGTAACTATTCCAGCTCCAAGGTACTGCTCTTCAAGGTTCTGGTGATCTTTCTACCTGTTTCAGTGTGGCAGTAACACAAAAGCATACAGATGCAGTTATACTTGCACATCCTTTGGCCTTTTTTGTTTTTTTTTGAGACAGGGTCTCACTATGTAATTCAGGCTGGTCCTGAGCTTTGTAGTACAGGCTGGCCTTGAACTCGCAGCCATCCTCCTGCCTTGCCTCCTGCTTCTGTATCTTGAAGAAAGCAATTACACTTCTCAGAGTCTGAGAGCCATGAGATTTTATAGCAGACTGAGGAAGGAAGTGCCACTCCACTGTTAAGCAGGCCCTGTTTCACAACGCCGTGTCTAATACACGAGTACCTGGTGTTCTCGCCATCGATAAAATTCAGGAAAACAAACAAATTCAAAGACAGATGGACTGAACAAAGAACATGAAAGTGCGGCACACCTAGGAATTTCCTCATGATTGCATTGCCTTGTTTCAGGGCTTCTGACCTCTGTGCTGGGTCAAATAACAACCAGTCAATGACATCGATTTTCACACGGTCCTCCTGTTCATTCAGAAGGGAAAAAAAGAAAAAAGCATTAATTTTGTTTCTTTTTAAAATATTCTACAAATTAGAACTAACTTATACCTGCACTTCTGGTGAACAACATGTCCTCTCAAATTCTATAAAAGAATCTAACTTTTCTTACTTTAATTTCCTATGTAACAGCTATTTTTTTTTTTTTTTTTTCATCTTTTTGAGACAGGGTCTCACTATGCAGCTCAGTCTGCCCTTGAGCTCACTTTGTAGCCCAGGCTGGCCTTGAACTCGCAACAATCCTCCTGCCTCAGCCTCCTGATTGCTGGGATTACAGGCATGCACCACCACGCCTGGGAGCTCTCTATTAAAATACAGAAAAATTCCCTGGACAGTGAATCTGGAGTTATATACTGTATGTCCCACTAACTTTAACCGTGTGAGGTTTTATTTTTGGGTGGGGCTGGGGATTGAACCAAGGACCTTACACATAGCATTGCCAAGTGCTCTACCACTAAGCTACATCCCCAACCCAACTGTGCGACTGTTTTAAAAGTAGTACTTTAAAATTTTGTTTCTTAGATATAGCTTCTTTTTCGTTCTGGAAACAGAAGAGTTAATGATTGAAAAGTGTCTTGAATAACCTGATGAACAAAAAACCAATGCTCAGCTGTGTGTGGTGGCACACATGCCTGTAGCCCTAGCACTTGGGAGGCTGAGGCAGGAGGATCACTGAGTTCAAGGCCAGCCTGGGCTACATAAGTGAGTTTAAGGCTAGTCTGCACTAGATAGCAACACCCTGTCTCAAAAAAACAAAAACCAAAAAACACCCGTCCAAAAAGCCAATCCTCAGATTGTTGTTATTAGAGAAACTTTAACATACCTGCAATACTACTACTACTGTAAGTAACCCTTTACAGAAGAAGGTGAATTTACTGCCGATCTTTGCTATTTAAAAGGCTTGGGCAGGGCGGGCGTGGCAGCACACATCTGTACTTCCAGCACTCGCGAGGCTGAGGTAGGAGGATCCCCACGAGTTCAAGGCCAGCCCAGGCAACACAGTGAGTGAATTCAAGGCCAGCCTGAACTGCACAACGAGACCCTGCCTCAAGAAAAATAAAGGGAAAAAAAAGGCCTGGGCTGACGAACATTCTTTAAAAAAATTAAAAGATAGAAGCGAGTATATTTTATGGCAGAAGTTCACCAAGGAACAAAGTAAAGGGTTACTGGAAGTTACACAGCACCCTCACCTTCCACCTGAAATTACCTGAGTAGTGTCACTGTCTTGGTCTAGGTTCAGGTCATGAGGACTAAATTCTTCATCATTTTTCTTTCGAATATTCTCAACTACAGTTTTTGTTATTGTTGCAACGTCCAAATCTAAAATATATTTTGAAATGACAAAACAAAACAAAACCAAGAACAATCAGATACTAATATTCTCTAAGTTACAATGATTTGGTAAATCTGAAATAACAATTTTGCTTTTTTTTTTTTTTGCAGGCCTAGGGATCAAAACAAGGGTTTCATGCTAGGCAAGTATTCTACCACTGAGCCATGTCCCCAGCCCCTACAGCAATAATTCTTAAAAAATCAAATATGTAAAATCTGAAAGCTTTCTGAAATAAAATGCCAAAATTAAAAAATATCTTATATGAGTTATGTTATGTTATTTCACCCCTAAAACAGAACTTCACTGAAAATTTTATTCCTTTTTATCTCCCTCTCAAGAGAATCAAGATTAAAAATTTAAAGGACAAATATTCTAACAGTCGAAATGAAAATCTGCCTACAAAGGTCCATAGATGAAATCTCAACCATTTTTACCTGCTTCCCTAGCCAGCTCCAGGGAAATCTGGCGATGTTCAAAATCTGTGACACCTTCCAAAAACAAGGCGTACTGAGCAACGGCGAGGTCTTGAGGCAAATGACAGCAGTAAAACGCTATGAGGTGTGTGTTCCCCTCATTTATTAAAAGCTGAAAATGGAAAAAAATCCAAGCAGGTCAATAATACGGTAAGTTTCAGAGTAAGCAGCGCCTTGCGTTTCTGTTTTGCGGGCAGTGCTGGGAACTGAGCCCCAAGTTACTAAGAAGCGCTAGTGAAGTGTAGTCAGGGGAACTCAAAGACCCCGATGGGTGAACTGCTGCCACCGGGCACTGACGTGTCACCACTCTGAGTTATATTTTAGTTACACTAGTAAGAAAGTCAGGACCCAGTTCCCCAAAGTTTACCTGTATGTATGTCTTCAAAACTTCAACCGAGGCGTCTTCCTTCACGGGACAGAAGACATAATTCAGTGATGAAAACACCGCTGCTTATATGCGCCAGTAATAAAATTTCTAATAAACATCATGCTATTAAATCATTTAATAATTTTAATATACACTGTTAAACAATAATTATACACCTGGCAAAGCTCGCACACTGCCTGATTTCACCTTACCATAACTCTCTGTGGGTACTTAGTACACTGTTCACATTTTACAGAGTAAGAAGCAAACACCAAGGTTTTTTTTCTTAACTCAGAATTCCACAACTGAAGGTACTGCATAAGGATGTGAACTCAGAGGTCTGACACCGAAGCTCAAGCTTTCAACTACTGCATCGTTTCTATGTGTATTCCTGACGAAAGTGTTATCAAACATTCAGGAAAAAAAGGAAACTAAGAAGAGAAGAAAACAAAGATTCTCACAGAGAACTCAGTCCGGCTCAGCTCGCTCAGCCGCTTGGTCTGAGCTGGGTACTGGTGAGGGTAAGGGTCTCGACAGGGGGAAACCTTACATCCTTTGGCCGAGCCTACAAGCCTAATGGTCTCTCACAGTGAGCTACTACTGGATGACTGAGACGACAGCAAAGACTTCCACACGCCTGTCACCATTTCCAGAGAACACCGACAAAACCACGTGCTTCCCGATGACCCCGACATAGCCTCAGCTTTGGGGAAGATACCCTGCTTGCTTTTGTTTACTTTGGTCTGCAGTCCCAGGGTGCGGAAGAACAGGGTGAGGTGCGTCATGAAGCGGAGGAGGTGCCCGGGGAGCTTGCTCCCGCTTTTAGAAAGCCATCTGCTGAACTCATCCATCAAACCTGTGGCCGTCAGAGCGAAGAGCACAGTCAGACAGACGTGACCGAGGCTATGAAGTGTGCTAAAACAGGGCAAATACAGTAAGAGACACGGTCGATAGCCCCCTCACGACAGCCCCCTCCAACTCCTGCCACCACTGCTGCCACTCTGAGGCAGCTCTGGAGTTCCTCTGGTGCCCGCTGCACCCCCCTCCAACTCCTGCCACCACTGCTGCCACTCTGAGGCAGCTCTGGAGCTCCTCTGGTGCCCACTGCACTGCTCCGGCTGCTTCCGCATACCACAGTGACTCACCACATTTCCTTCTGGGGTCGGTCTGACTCGGAAGGCCGAGAGGCGCACAGTGCCCACCCACTGAATACGGTGGACACTACGGACTCTGTAATGTTTCCATTTGACATAAACTGCCAATAACAGTCAGCGCGACATGACTCAAAACTAGGGTGCGTATTTCAGTAAGATTAGTGAAACACACTGTTATTAACTCCCCTCAGAACACTCAAAGTGCTCTCCCTCGCGGTGAGCACAGGTGACCAGCGGCTCTCCCGGGCGGGCAGAGGTGCAGAGAGTCTGCCCTGTCGTTCAGGCCAGCCTTGAGCTCAGCGTGCAGCCCAGGTTTGCACTCGGTACCAGCAGCCCTCCCGCGTGGGCTCCTGGGTGCTGGGACTGCAGGGGTGCCCACCACGCCCGGCGAGCCGCTGAAGACTTAGGCCCTGGACCTCTCGCTCGCTGCTGCTCACCTCACAGTTACCGTGCCGTCATCACCGCTTCACTGTTAGCTACATCCTCCTCAACAGCCTCTGGTTACATTAAAGCTTTATTTTGTAACAACACGTAAAAGGTTACATCCAGATAGGTGGATATTTATTAACCTTACAAGCGTGGTGTGTCATGCATTGCTTTGATAACTTACAAAAATTACTCTAAGAAAATGAAGAAGTCAAAGTAAAATAAAACTATAGCTTACCATCGATGTTTCCCAGGATAAGGAACCTTTGAACTATATGATAATGTTCTTGATTCTCTTCCAGAACTCTCTGAAAAATTTTTTGCATTTTCTGTAAATCTTCTGAAGTCATTCTGGAGTATCTACTCACTGTTAAACTAAAAATCTCAAACTTTTGAAGGGACACACACTAAGTAGGAAAAGAAGGCCTCAGAAAGACCAATATAAGACGAAAGATGGGAAAGACACTATCTTCAAAGTATTCTCAAGGTTTAGAAACCCAGGACTGAACAATATCTTTGAAAGTAGAGAACCACTATACAGCAAGGTAATCTCTAGGAATATTAATAACTATTACTCTTTATGTTTTCGTCCTATTTATCTTGTCACAACATGGTGGACCAGAAAGGAAGGACCTATATGAATTATGCAATATAAATTATAACATTTCTTTCAAGAGAAGCAGCAGGAGTAGAAACCATTTTCTTAGGTATTTTCTTCTGCACATCATTAAATAATGAATCAAAATAGGTAAAGAGTAGAGAAAACCATTTATAAGTGCATGCAGCTTAGTTTCTTGAAAAATGAGTTTTTTTGGTGAAGTAATTCTCTCCTCTCTCTTTGGGGACTGAATGCAAGGCCTATGAACTGATCCACATTCCCTATTCTTCTTTTGTTCTGAGGCTGGACTTGATTTTGCAATTCTTCTGTTTCGGCTTTCCAGAGTGCTGGGACTGACAGGCATGTGTCACCAAGTCTGGCTTAAATTATTTTAAAGAAATATTATTTTTAAAAAATATTGATTATCTGGGAGACTAGGAAAAAATTTTTATTAATTCTCCATTATATATCTTAAAATTTCACGAAATGGAGTTAAATGTAGCATATGCATATATTTGCATATATGCAAGAGCCAACCCTAAACCAAAGAATAATGAATCATTTGCATAATTTTCAGTCTTTTAAAGAATGTCCCTAGCCAGGCATGGTGGTAATCTCAGCACTTGGGAGGCTGATGCAGGAGGATCACTGTGAGTCTGAGGCCAGCCTAGACTACTGAGTTCAAGACCAGCCTGAACTACGTGGCAAGATCCTGTCTCAAAAAAAGAGAAATGTCTCTAATTTTGATAACAGCCAAAGGAAAGAAGGGAAAGGGGAACAATGTTTCACAAATGAGCTAGTGCAGACAGAATAACATTTCCTTACTCTGTATGTATCTACTAACAAGTTTATATTTACATTTACCTTTTTATCAGTAGCTTGAAGTTCTTCAAAAACCTTTTCTAAGGTCCAACTTCAAAAGAATAAAACAGAAAAGGATAGAATAATATTAACAATATGAAAAAGAGCTGTGACATAAAACTTTAAGGAGCATACCACAAATCACTCTAATCATAAAAACAAACCAATAAACCAATACACTCACTTTGCCTCTAGATACTCTCTAGGGAGTTCCTCGGTTTCATTCTGGGCCATGACTGACAGCCGGATCTCCTGTTCCACCAGGTTGTCCACCATCGCCCGGAAGTAGGCCCACACCGTGTCCTCCCAGGTGTCACAGACAGGAAGCAGCTTTTTCCCGTTCCGAAACAGAAACAGACCCCCCCAACAAAAGGAATGGTCCATGGACATGGACAATACCGTCACTTTATTGTGATAGAAAACATGCGGGTTTAAATAAAATTGTACTAAACAACTTCCTTTTCTCTCATTTTACGCACTTGGAACTACTAAGATTTTTTCCATACCAAATTCACACAGCACCAATTTTGCGTGCTGTACAAGATGGCATTTTAACTGGTTAGCATCCCTCAAAAGAGCTGTAAAGTGTAGAGGATAGCAGAGGCGCTAAGAAACATATACGCTATGTAAGACAACCTGAGCGCTCACTGCCTCTTGGTACTTTTCTGGATATAGCTTTGGGTATTAGAAGTCATCAATCACTGTGGGTTGCAATTAAACTGACATATTTTAGTTAGAAATTACAGCCTCATTTCATTAAAACACCATGCATGTAAGGAATACATCATGTTAAATCCCTATTATGTTTCATACTTATCTCTATCATTGCTACTTTTAGGAAGTAGCTTAAGTTTGTAAGGTTTTTATATACATTAGCATATTTTATGCATCTGGTTTTAATCCACAGAAAAAATATTCAAAGGCTACATACCTGTTTGAGATTCCCACTTAAAGCTGCATAAATTGCTCTCTCGTATTTATTAAAACGTTCCTAAAATAGAAGGAATATAAACAGATTTGATATATTTTTTTATCAGAATGTTAATTTTCCTCCTAATCTGGAATATTGCCATTTCTTACAGATAGAACCTATTTTGTGAGTTTCTAAACTTTAGAGAAAGACCTAGTAACAAGAAGTAAGAATCTTTTGATGAAATAATACTGAAATCTTCAGGCAAAGTCTCGCATTTAAATTCCTTCCATAGGATGAAAGCAGACCCGACTGTAACAGATGTTCTGATTATACATTTTGTATAACCAAAGTTTAGTCTATAGCATCCGAATAGGAGTCTTCTCCTAGAAAGCTTCTAAGTACCCGATAATCCCTGATGCTGCCCTAAGAACACCACCAAAGCAACACATGCTTGTATCTGCACTTGATTCTTAAGTAGAATTATATTCCCCACGCTACCCTGTTCAGGTCAGTGGTCCTATAAACAGCGTTTCAAGCTCTCTAGCCACGCAAACGGGAGACCTGAGAGGCTCTGAATGACTGCGCCCAGCTCTGCGGTCTGTTTCCAGGAGGGTCCGACCGGTCTTGTTCCCTCCGCTCCATTCCCACCAGTCCTCCCCTAGGAGGGGCCCTATTACTTAGTGGGGGAACAACTCTGACAGGCTCCTACGTCAGCTTTTAGTCCTTACAATTTAAAAGTCTATTCTCCATGCCTGCTCATCTCTAAAACACTGCTGCAGTGGGCCCTCCAAGTTCTGTGACTCTTCTGACACCCAATTCTACGAGCAAAGTTCAGGGCTTTTCAAGGCGAAGAAGCCCAATTACTGTAGGGTGTGACTCTTAACCGCCGCACAGAAATAAGACTGTGCTACCATTTTACCGACTGTTTATATAGCACTGATGATTTTCTTTCTCTTTTTTTGTGGTATCAGGGATTGAACCCATGGGGTTGAACCCATTTGAGATACACTCTTGGCCCTCCATATGCTTTAGTTTGAGACAAGGTCTTGCTAAGTGGCCCAGGCTGAGCTTGAACTTGCAGAACTCCTGCCTCAGCCTCCAAGAGGCTGGCATTACAGGCACGCACCACCACAGCTGACTCACTGATGACATTTTTGGGACTGTTCTCTTAACTTCATCTTTTCATAAGCGCTGTGAATTCTGTGCTGGGACAGTGCAATTTGCATGTCGTACTGATTTTTAGGAATGCCTATGCTGTGTCATTATGGAACTGACTATGCAGTGTTTCTCTAACAAGCCACCTACCCCAGCCTGGCAAACCTGCCACCCCTGGAGTCTCCCAGCCAGTATATGTTACTCTGAATCCCTTCCTCTGTTCTCATTCTCAACAACCCAAACGCTACTGATTTTAAAAGTTCTACTTGGCCACTGCCACCAGGAAGCCAGCTTTAAATTTTACCCCATGTTTTTCTGTAAACTTATTTGGTACGTCCTTTATATTTTTGCCTTATATCAGTGTTTAGTTCTTAGTATTTGGTGCCTCTCAAATTTTTTTGTTTTTGTTTTTTGTCTTTTTGAGACAGGGTCTCGCTATGCAGTTCAGGCAGGTCTTCAGCTCACTTTGTAGTCCAGGTTCGTCTTGAACTCACATTGATCCTCTTGCCTCAGCCTCCCGAGTGCTGGGATTACAGGTGTGTGCCACCATGCCTGGTTCAAATTCTGGTAAGCAGTTAAGACTATTTCTCAATTTCACTAGAACTCTGAAGACAGAACTTTAGTTTTAGCTGCTCTGAACATTTCACAGCCCCGCAGTAGATCTTCACTTAACCTGCAGTAAAGGTCAGTGTCAAGGGCTGGGGATTTAGCCCCACGGCACAGCGCCCGCCTGCAAGCATGAGGTCATGAGTTCGATCCCGGTACTGGAAAAACAACCCAGTGTGAGCGAATACGTTATTTGTCTTACATCTTCTGCCATTCTCCAGCAACTAATCTTCCAAATGCGTCGATAGGGATTCCCTTCCACGGGCTCTAATTCTGCTCCTATTTCTATAAAACAGTAAAATAAATATACATTTTAAATGAGACTTTTATCTCTGTCATGTCTAAAAAGAAAAGTACAGTTCACAAAGACTAGCATTTGTAGCCAAGTGCCTTTGCCCCACTCTCAGAATAGAACCTACACACCTCCATGAAGGTTGGGGTCGTGGTAGAGTTTCCAGCCTTCCAGGGTGGCGGCTCTCCATGCCTGACCACAGCGTTTACAGAGTCGCTGCGCCTTGAGGAACGAGAAAGGTGACACTGCCTGGGCAATACCGAAAAGTACTCGTGACTTAGAGTACGGCGAGACCGATATACGACAAGATTACATAATCTGAGGCACCAATGTTACAGCATGTAGATAATTAGTACCGGCATTGCCGGGCGTGGTGGCGCACGCCTGTAATCCCAGCACTCGGGAGGCTGAGGCAGGAGGATTGCTGTGGGTTTGAGGCCAGCCTGGGCTACAAAGTGAGCTCAAGGCCAGCCTGTACTGCATAGCCAGACCCTGTCTCAAAAAGACACACAAAAAAAAAAAAAAAAAAAAAAGTACCGGCAGTCCACTTTACCAACATGTGCATGCATTTCTGTCTCTTTGTTTTTATTTTTATAGCAATTCCTTTTCTCTTGGATTTCAGGCTTACATGTGGGTTCTCATGGTGCCTACCAGCATTTAATTCTGCTAGAAACAAGGAGGGTTAAAGAGGTTGATGCCCTGGACTCACAGAGAGTATGAAAAAAGTATGGACTCACTGCAAGTATTATCAAAGCACTGTTAGTTGCTATAATGACAAGGGTGCTAGTGCTCATGTAGCACACTGACAACAGTTTAAATTCAAACTGACCAAGAAGAAATCTGAGCGCCAACACAGCTCTCCAGTGCCTAAATAGTGTCACCTAGGGTTAGACTTACTTTAAACTTTTGTTTTCAGGTCTAAGGATTGAACTCAGGGCCATCACAATACCACAAGCCCTTTTTATTTTTGAGACAGGGTACAAAATTACCTAAGTAATTGCCCAAGTTGAGCTTGACTTGGGTTCCTCCTGCCTCAGCCTCCCAGAATACTTGAACTACAGGCATGAGCCACCACACCTAGCTTATTTTAAACTCTTAAAAATCAGAAGTACAGGTGGACATAGTGGTATACACCTGTAATAAACGGATTCTGGGAGGCTGAGGCAGGAGGATCACAAGTTTGAATCCAGCATTGGCAACTTAGTAAGACCCTGCTTCAAAATAAAAAATTTTAAAAAGGCTGGGGATATAGCCCAGTGTGAAAACCCTAGGTTCCATTCCCAGCAGTCAAAAAAAAAAATCTCAGCAGACATAATGAGGATGTACCTACGGTATGCAGTATAATACAGAGAAGCAAAGTGTGACTTGTTAAGAGTTCTCTAATAATTAGAGCCCCACACACTAAAGGGCACGGCTCTCTAAAGCAGTGTGCGTCTCATCAATGGAAACGTTCAGTGCAGAAGAGGGATCTAGAAATACCATCGAGGAGATTATCCCGCTGGATAAGCACATGGAGTAGCCACGAAGATCTCTTTCACCCTAAAGAGCCTCTGGCTTTTTGAAACTGAACAAGCAGGGTACTGTGTGCTTTACCTCATCCGTCATTCCAGCACGGATCAGCGTGAAAAGATATTTAAGCAATCGAACTTCATCTTCTCTATCCAGATCATCCAGGGGCATTTTCTGTCTTATGGGAGCATCAGGATCCTGTTAACAGAATCACAACCCATTAGCGCAGTGCTGGAGGTCAAAGCCAGCGCACTGCAAGCACTCTACCGAGCTACACCCCAGCACCCCGGCACGGTGCCTGCATACACGTTACGTGCTATGAGGGGACGGTAACTCTGTCCTGAGCTGTACACAGAAATAAACTCCTTTATGGTTTAGTTTAGTGAAGGGAATAAAAGTGCCACAGATGTCCCCAACAGTCTGCTACCCGCTCCCTTGGGTTCTTCTGGCCCATGACGGCACGTGCCTGGCTCAGACAAGGGGGCACCACTAGCCGAAAGCAGCCGACACCAGGCAGCTGACTGTCACAGCACCCACATGGCCAAGGCAGGTCGACGTAACTACACCTAGACGGTGGCCAAACAGCAGAAACTGGAGGGAGCCGTGCTGCGACTGGAAAGTGACTCTCAGCACATATGGAGTCTACTAAATGTGCACCTAGTATCAATGCTACGGAAAATGCAACACTGTCCAGTAAGAAAACTACGTAGCTTTGTAATAAACAAAATCCCCTGAAATGACTCTTCCTACCTACTCCCTTCCACGTGCTTTTACACGTCTAGTATACTACACTGCCCTCACTTCGGAAGCAAAGAGTACACATGTTCTACATGATGAAATTCAAACAGAAAGCTAAACATGACTTACTGCAAACGTTACTGAACGCATGGCAGTATAAACATCAAGTCAGAGAATGACGTACACTGTAGGCCAACTGGCCACTTTCACAGGATTTTACAGACACACTCAATTTTGGAACATGGTCTCTCTGGCAAAAAGGAAATCACTACTTTTCAGCTAAGAGAAAATGATTTTCAGCTATTGCTCAGTACAAGGTAATTTAGCTATAATGTTTTTCAAGATCTTCCAGTAGTTTTTAGACAATTTTCATCACAAACCATTTTTTTTTGGTACCAGGAATCAAATTCAGGACCTTGCACCTGCCAGGCAGGTGCTTATGCCACTGAGCTATATCCCCAGCCCTCAAACCATTTTTGTTACCAAGTGAGTTTCATGAACTTTTTCAATTGCTACTTACTTATTTCACTCATCATTGAAACATATGCATCTACCAATCACAAAGGTCCATTCCTTTACTCCTGAAAGTCTGGCACCTGTTCTTTGCAAATACATTGCATTGCTATTACTCACACCCCGTAGTAATAACTCTTTTAATCTCAAGTTAACTCACAAGGATGCATTTTTTTTTTTTGTCTTTTTGAGACAGGGTCTCGCTATGCAATTCAGGCTGGCCTTGAGGTCACTCTGTAGCTCAGGCTGGCCTCAAACTCAAAACAATCCTCCTGCCTTAGCCTCCCGAGTGCTAGGATTACAGGTGTGCACCACCACACGCGGCCCACAAGGATGTATTTTAACCATTCTTTTCTAAAAAAAAAAACAGTTTTCATGAGTTACTACATTATAATTAAAGAGTCAAATCTTAGCATGAGACCAAAACTGATTTGTTTTTAACACTGGCATATTTCCATATTTTCTTTTACACTTTCCATATTTTCTTTTATAATTTACAAGCAATGGATAAATTCAAATACATCCCATCATTCCACTGCAACTTGAGAGTAAAATGTTAGTATGTGTAAACTTCAGGAAACTACAAAAGGATCCAAAAGAAGAAAAACTGTTAGCCTTAAAAAGAAAAAACCAACTTAACCTTTGAAAACAACCTTTATTTCTAAGAATACTTACCAGTTCAGTGACAAGAGGACGGGCACTTCCTATGGAAGAAGCGAGCTGCCGTTGTTTTAAAATATGGAGGGTATTTTCCCTAAAAGAAAAAGTACCAAAAATTTTGAAAGGGACAATTTAAATGGGCCTATTAAAAAAATCAAATCAAGTCAAGATCACAAAAAAGATGACAAAACTAGAAAAAAATCTTTCAGGGAATAGCAGTGTAACTAAGATGATGCTGAACACTTTTTCATGCCTTTACTGGTCATTCACCCATCTGCTTTTGTGAGGTATCTGTTAGGGCTTTGCTCTTTCTGCCAGGTTACCTTCTTACTACTAAGTCGCAGCTGTTGGTGAACTATATGTTCTATGTTCCTCCCAGTCTGTGGCTTGCTCTCCCTTATTTTTTTAATGGCATCTTTTAATTGGAAATTTTTCATCTGTTTGTTTTCTGAGACAGGGTCACGCTATGTAGCCACGGCTGGCCTCCCCTCTTGATTCTCCTGCCTCATCCTTCTGAGTGCTGGGATTACAGGCGTGCACCACCATGCCTGGCAGACAAGTGTGTAAATTTTACTTAGTCAGCTTTCTCTTGAGAGCGTGTGCGCGGGTCCC